CTCTAAAACATTTCATATACTATTGCCCTAATACTCAATGCTTTAGAGATTTTTTCTACACTAAATTCCTAGATATTACATCAATGCAATGTATCCTCAACGATTATCAAGAATCAAGATACTGTGAAAGAAGGAAAGTTTTCATTATTCATCATGACGGAGTAATGATTCGAGATACTCAAATGCCCAACTTTAAAAATTTACCAAATATTTACCAAAATTGGCCTGAAATCCAAACAATTCTCACCCTACTAGTTGGTAAATGTCACACCAAGTATTATGAAAACTCAAGGTTTAAAAAACCAATTCAAAAACAAACCCCAATCCTCACGGATTTACCAGCACCAGTGGTGCTAACAATAAACTAATTAGATTTTTTTTTGTAAATTATTGTTTCAATTAATGGATGAATTAAGGAATCCGCCATTCTTCACAATCATGATTCAAATTACATTGTTCTTTCTTCATTATGGAAAAAAAGGAAAAACAGACTGACGTTTAATAGATTTATTTAAAGAAGAAAGAAGCAACGAAGAAGAACAAGACAGAACCATATTTGGGAATCCTCCTATTTAATTACAAGCCAAACACACCTAGGCGTTTGTTTCTGTTCTCACAAAACAGACATTTAAATCAAACAGCCAAGGTGCTCACTCGAACCACATTCCTATCGACAAGTGACACTTTAAAAATCTCCATATTTAATGTAAATGACAACGCCAAAAGGATGTCAAGCCTTACTCGACGCAATCTCGAGCCTTTTACCAATTTTATGCTGCTTAAATACCACAATCATGGTTCGATAAATCACCTTAACTTGTGAATGCTTTGAACTGTCAAAACAACATCCATAAACTTCTCCAAATGCACTGATGTGTGGTTTGTGATTGCAAGCCAATCCAAGAGCATTCTGGAGGATTTAATGTACACACTTGGAGTATTTTTCTCAAAGGAATGGAGTGCGTGTGAGATACACTTAGGGGTTGTGCTGTCTAAGAGTCTTGTTATTCTCGTTTGTGATTCTCTCAGAGAACAATAGTTTTCGTAGATATTGAGTCGATCAAAGAAGGGATGACCTCTTAAAACCGAGAATGAATTTTTAGAACTTGAAAAAAAAATGTCTCGACAAGGATTCTTGTTCCATCACAGTAATAACACAATGATGATGATGATCGGAAAGGCAAGCAAAAACACTATTGTTCATCAACATGGCATGCAATGATTTTTCATCCACGTTTGAATGCTTTAAATAATAATTTTTGAATCATCATCAAGCCTTATCTTCATCATCATTCACAATATTCAGAAATTTCCATTACTCGACTCGGAGCTTGAATCAATCTTCATCTCAAGGAGGAGAATCAGAAGAACAACAGATTGTTCTCAATGAGCAAGAAAAACCAATCTATGAATTATTTATGATTGTTCAAAAATCAATTCCGATTGCATATCGAATTTATGATAATGTCAATGCTTTTACTACTCTTCTTGCCCAAATTGATACATTGATGATCATGTTGAAAGACTTGTCCAAAAAACAAGAAACTTTTCTTGGAGATCCTATTGCTGAAATTATTGAAGCAGCAAAGGAGTTGAACATTTCGATTTTGTGCCGACGAGCAAGCGCTGCTATGGTGTTGTGGAGAAGAGCACAAAGTCCAAAAGAAAAGAACAATATTCTACAATTATGGAACAAGATTATGCCAAAGCTCTTGAGTCTGGATCTGAGAGTGACGAAGTGAATTTTGCATATGCAACCTATTTGAGAATTGTCAAATCAGATTTGAGAATGGCTTTACATCATATTTCAAAATCTATTGATTTAAACAATGCAGTTCCAGTTAAATTTCTAAAACGAGCTGAATTGAACTTGGAATTGTTTGATGAAATGAAAGATAGTGAAGCCGCCATGAATATTGAAGAAGAAAGTCCTGCTTCTGAAGAGTCAAATTCAGCTGAAACATCAAATGAAAGAACCAATAATGATACATCACAAGTTGGCAACACACTCTCTGTGAAAATTAATTCAGAGTGGAATGACGACGCTCTCCAAGTTCTCAACAATTGTCTCATGGACTGCGAGAGGTATATCGAAGACTCGATCCAATATGCCAAGAAGAATAATATTACCGATTTCACTCTTGACTATTACGTTTATTATGTGAGAGGAAGAGTCTTTTCAGAGACATTCATGTCTGAAATGGCCAATTCGTCCAGTAGCTCAGTGTTTCTGAACAATGCTGAACGGGATTTCACCTTATTTGTAGAGCATTTCGAAAAACCAGAAAATGAGTCCATGATCTCAAAAGATATTCTTGCTGAGGGCTATGTCAGACGTGCAGTGTGCCGAATGCATTCAAAGAATTTGAATGGCTCGACTTCTGATATTGAAAGAGCGAGCGCACTTTTGGATTCACATCCACATTTACGTGATTCACATCCTGACTTGCACAATTACATTGAAGAGTTGAAATTACAGATCCAAACGCTTCAACAATTCCAATCCCTCTATGATCGAGCTACAGAACTGGGAGCGAAAGCAGCCCAAGGTCAATCCACTGGTGACTCTGACAAAGCACTCGAGTATTTGAATGAAGCAATTACAATTAGCGAGCATTCCCCAATTCCAACTTTGTACACTCAACGGTCCATGGTTTATTACGACAAGTTTTTGAAGAGATGTAAAGAAGGTATTCCACACAGTGATCCAACTTCGACACAATATATTGAACGAGTGGCACATGACTGCAAAAAGCCATCGAAATTGATCCATCTCCTCGGACAACTGAAGCCAGAGTTGTGTTGGCAGAGTATTACAAAATGTGACAGGAGAGAAAGATAAGGCAGCAGAACAGTATGAAATTGTGTTAAAGAACTATCTCCTAGAAAATGATCAAGAAATGATAAAAACTATTGAGCAAGCATTGGACGATCTTAAGAAGATTAAATAACTCATTCAGTAGTTCATTAATTATTTCGCATGAAAGTAATTAGAAATGTTCATTAATAAGAATACTCTCTCTAGTTGGTTTTGTTGTTCATTAAATGCGAGTACATGTGCATCAAATGTGCTTGAATGGCACACCCTATTGCTATACTATCTTCAACTGCCGAATCATGCACTTTGGCTTGAGAAAATAATGTTTGAATACTATCTCTTAATTTGGGAATCTGACAAGAGCCTCCAACAAGAACAACGTCGGTAATGGATGCAAACGAGTAATCTTGTTCTGCCAATGAGTCCGCTGTTTGTCTTGCATGTTCAATGATACTTGCAAAAATTGACATGACTGAGCTTTCAAATCGTGCACGAGTGATTTTGAATTGGAAATCTAAACCATCATATAGTGAATCAATTTCAATCATGGCTTGTTGATTATTCGATAGCACTATCTTGGCATTTTCACATGATCTTCTTAGTTTGTTTTGGACTTTTCTATTTTTTCCAACTTCTTGTTGGAACATTGACTCAGACATATTCTTGTAATAGAGTCGCTTAAATTCCTGGAGACACATTTGAATCATAACTTGGTCAATGGATTCTCCACCCAATGGTCGTTTCGACTCACTCTTAATCATTTCAAATAGGCCATTTTCTGCCACTTTTACGATTGAAATATTTGTCTCCAAAGCACCAACGTCAATCACACAAACTTTCCTTGCTCCTTCATTTGGCTTGGGTAAATCAAATCCGTAACCAATTAAGGCTGCAATAGGTTCTTTGAGAATTGTTAAAACTTTCATGTCCAACAGGTCACATGCTTTCCGAATGACTGCTTCACAATGTGAGGAGTTCGAAGGGCAGCTGATCACTGCCTTTTTCACTTTCTTTCCCAAATAATGTTCTGCAATATTTTTCATCTTTCCCAATAACAAGCTGACCATATAATCCTGAGAATATTCCTCTCCATTGAACGCAATTCGTTCTGGAGATTCCGTATTTTCCTTCTTCATTCTTTCTTCATCCTCCAGCATGAATTCTTTCAAATCGGAAATAACTTGGTCTGGAGCGAGTGATGCTCCAGGAAGAGGAGGAAATCCTACAATGATTTCTCTCTTGTTTTTTTCATTATCTGTTCCTTCTCCTTCGATGATTGTGTTCACCTTTATCACGGAAGGTGTATGATGAGCACCATCTTCATTCTGTATAATAACCACATGGCTGTTCATATTTTGAACTGGTTGAATCACCGTAGCAGCATAACAAGGCTTATTCGGAGATGAGGAAGTTAAAGCCGATGATGAATTTAAATTTGGAAATGATGAAAGCAAATGTTGTACGTTAAAATAGGCAACGGTGCAGTTATGATTACCGAAATCAATTCCAATAGCTCCATCGAAAACCGCAGTAGTAGATTCGGAGGAAGAAGATGCTGTTGAGGATGAAGAGGCTTGCTCTGTGGATGATGATGTAGCTTTCGAGGAGGCTTTCGATTTCTTTTGGTCATTTTTTTGTGAAAATTCAACTTTTTCTTGAAAGCGGGTCTGACATCTGTGAAGAAACTTTGTTTATCAAGGTTGCAGCTTATAAGCTTGGAGTGCTCTTATCCTAAGAGGTCCTTGATTTCTGAATCAGAAAAATCCTTAAAATGTGAATCTAGTGTTGTTAGATGCAGAACCGATGTTTCCGGTCTCTTACATCGATTCCCTTTTGAAATCTTTGTATTACTGCAAATTTGAAAGCTCTCATGCCCATCAATACCTGTCCTTCAAATTCAAGTGCTCACTTCCTTGATCATCTCCAAATATCGTGTCAAATGACAACTGGTACCGGGTTGCCATTGTAAACACCAAGAATGATTGATGGGGTGTCATTTTTTCGTCAAGTTGACAGGCATCAATTCACAATAAAACGCAACCCGATCATCAAGACATTTTCACAACAAAACAAAAAACTCAACAACAACTTCCTCTCCAACAAGAACAACAAAATGTGTGACGACGTTCAAGCACTCGTAGTTGATAACGGATCTGGTATGTGTAAGGCTGGTTTCGCTGGTGATGATGCACCAAGAGCTGTCTTCCCTTCCATCATTGGTAGACCAAAGCAAAAGTCCATCATGGTTGGTATGGGTAACAAGGATGCCTATGTTGGTGATGAAGCTCAATCCAAGAGAGGTATTTTGACTTTGAAGTATCCAATTGAACACGGTATTGTCACCAATTGGGATGATATGGAAAAGATCTGGCATCACACCTTCTACAATGAATTGAGAGTTGCTCCAGAGGAACATCCAGTCTTGTTGACTGAAGCTCCATTGAATCCAAAGGCTAACAGAGAAAAGATGACTCAAATCATGTTTGAAACCTTCTCTGTTCCAGCCATGTATGTTGCCATTCAAGCTGTCTTGTCTTTGTATGCTTCTGGTCGTACCACTGGTATTGTTTTGGACTCTGGTGATGGTGTCTCTCACACTGTTCCAATTTATGAAGGTTATGCTTTTGCCTCATGCTATTTTGAGATTGGATTTGGCTGGTAGAGATTTGACTGATTACTTGATGAAGATTCTCATGGAACGTGGTTACTCATTCAATACCACTGCTGAGAGAGAAATTGTCAGAGATATCAAGGAAAAGCTCTGTTATATTGCTTTGGACTTTGAACAAGAAATGAAGATTGCTGCTGAATCATCCTCCGTTGAAAAGTCTTATGAATTGCCAGACGGTAACGTGATTACTGTTGGAAATGAAAGATTCAGATGTCCAGAAGTTTTGTTCCAACCAAACTTCATTGGTATGGAAGCTGCTGGTGTCCATGAAACTACTTTCAACTCGATTGGAAAGTGTGATATTGATATCAGAAAGGATTTGTATGGTAACGTTGTCTTGTCTGGTGGTACTACCATGTTTGAAGGTATTGCTGAGAGAATGACCAAGGAATTGACCAACATGGCTCCTGCTTCCATGAAGATTAAGGTTGTGGCTCCACCAGAAAGAAAGTACTCGGTCTGGATTGGAGGTTCCATCTTGGCTTCATTGTCCACCTTCCAACAAATGTGGATCACCAAGGAAGAATATGAGGATGCCGGTCCAGGTATTGTCCACAGAAAGTGCTTCTAAATTGACCTTAGTGGCATATGTACTTCAATAAATCAACAAGTTGTTGTTAAAAGACCTTTTTGCTTAGTCTTCACTCGGAAAATTTCAAATATCTTTACGAGATCTTTTCTTGAAACATTTTGATCTAAGGCTTGCTTGATTTGATTGAATCAAACAGAACTAGTAAGGTTCCTCCTCCACCTGATCCTATACCGAATACCTTTCCGAGATCCTTAAAAGAACAAACAAGGTCTTCTCGCTCTCTGCTTACATCATCATTAAACCTTACTTGTGAGCTTTTCATCCCTCTTACAATCTCTTAAAACAGATCATTACAATCATGCTTCTGGAGAATTTCATTCAAAGCTCATAGAACAACCCAGCTTATGACAAATCACCAATCGGGACTTTATCAGAGCCACGAACGAAGCAGGAATTTTTCCAAAAGTTACCCACTCACCAAAAGGTTTTCCCACCTTCGCGAAATTATGGAATTTTTTTTTGAAACAAGAACAAAAAAACGCGAGAAGAGCTCTCTTTGCTGCAGTCAGTCGACACAAGTCTTGGATTGTCTTGAAGAACGCCTTGAGACGAATCTTGTACAACAATTTGCTTCTCCTCGTTGGTGATATCAGAATCAGCCCATTCATCAGTCCGTCCATTCCTTCATTCATTGTGCATCTTGTTGAAAGAAACTCTTGCGTTGTAAAGTTTTAATTGAAAATTTAAACATTCATTATTTGACCTTCTTCATCACACAGTTGAACCTTTTTACAAACAATGGCAGCCTCATTATTGAAAGAGAAACAATTGAGTTTTTGGTCCTCTCTCATCAACCAAAACCAAAGTTTGAAATTGCCAACAGATTTTCCTCGAACAATGATGGATGAGAATGAGACCAACTCAAACACAATTTTGCAATACGAACAATTGAAGGAAATTATTTCATTAGATGATGTACTCTCCAGTCAGTCCTTTAAAGACAAGTTTTTACAAGTGACAGATTCCGAAGCTCAAAAATCGTTCACAAGAAACACTTTTGTATTGTCTGTTTTTGCATTACTTCTCGCTCGTTATACCTATGAAGAGACATTTTTGATTGGTATTTTGCAAGATGAAAACACAGAACGTGACTCTTTCATCGTCTCTGCAAATATTCCAATGCCATCTGCTGACGAAGACACATTTGAGGGAATTTCCCGAGAAAAGTCGACCACGGAGTACAGTTTAAAAAGTTATTGTCAAACATTCAAGGGGCTTTCAGTGACTCTGTTGGCAATTTGTCACAATTCGGAAATGTTCAGAATATCCTTTCGGAGGTTGAACAAAAACAAGGAAAAGTGGATACTACTCTTCTAGTTCAAGTTTCTTTCAGCTCGTACGATGGCCCTTACAATTTGGTCAACGCTTCCTCTTCTCCTTTCCCAATCTCTAATGTTGATTTGCATTTGCATTTGGATACTAAAACAAATCAAGTGAGCATTTCGTATCAAACTAATTTATTCACAGAACTCAGAATGCAAGACATGTTGAATCAATTGAAGTTGGCTGCTAAACAACTTGTTTCAGAACCAATACAATCGATTTTTGATGTGTCACTTGTGACAGAATATGCCAAGACAGTCCTTCCACATCCAGATAAACCTTTGAATAACGATTTCTATGGAGCAATTCATGAAGTATTCCAAGAACAAGCAAAGAAAATACCCCAACGAATTACCATGGTTGATAGCAAAGAATCTGTAACATATGAAACCTTAAATAAGCTTTCCAATCAATTAGCTCGTCAATTACTTGCCAATGGATTGAAAAGACAAGAAGTTGTCACCATTTTTGGTCACAGAAGCTGCCCTGTAGTATTGGCAATTTTGGCTACATTGAAATGTGCAGCAGTTTTTAACATGTTAGATCCTGCTTATCCAGCAGACAGAATTATTACTTGCTTGGAAGTGTCCTCTCCATCTGCTGTCATTTTGATTGAAGCCTCTGGTCCACTTCCAAAAGAAGTCGTCAAGTACATTCAAACCAAGTCCACTGTTCGATTTGTGGTCTCTCTCAAATCCATTACAGAGAGTGTTTCTGAACAAATCTATGCGGATTATGCAGACACTGATTTGAGCTCAGATCCTGAATGGCGTGACAAGGTACAAATTACACAAGATGATTTTGCAGTGTGTACCTACACAAGTGGTAGTACAGGTATTCCAAAGGGAGTTCTCGGTCGACATGGACCTCTCACTCACTACTATCCCTGGATGAAGCAACGATTTAACTTGAGTGAAAATGATGTCTTTAGTATGCAAAGTGGTATCAGTCATGATCCTCTCCAAAGAGATATTTTCACACCATGGTTCCTGGGTTGTACCATGTATATTCCAACCAATGAAGATATTGTCAATCCTGGTCGTCTTGCAGAGTGGTTTGAAGAAAAGAAAATTACAGTGAGTTGTTTGACACCTGCCATGGGTCAATTATTAACCAGTGCTGCCAGTATTGCTACCACCAGCACTGGAGAACCTCTCAAATTGAATCATTTGAGATATGCATTCTTTGTTGGTGATGTGCTCTCAAAGAAGTTTGTGAAACGTTTGTGTGACATTTCTCCAATTGTTCGAGTCATTAACTTGTACGGCTCTACAGAGACTCAACGTTCTGTCACGTACTATATGGTTCCAAGACCTGGTGAAAAATGTATGGAAACAGGAATTCCTTTCGAAAGATTGAAGGACATTATTCCAATTGGTAGAGGAATGTTAGACGTTCAAGCATTGACTCTCTCCAGATTCACCTCACGAGACGACAAATTCATGTTGTGTGGAATTGGTGAAATGGGTGAAATTTATATGCGTAGTCCTCACCTTTCACAAGGTTACAAAGGAAAGGAAAAGGATACGAGAGAAAAATTCATTCCAAATCCTTTCCTCACCACAGGATACATTGACAGAATGTACAGAACGGGTGACTTGGGAAGATATCTCATTAGTGGAGACGCTGAATGCAGTGGAAGAGCCGATGATCAGATTAAAATCAGAGGTTTCAGAATTGAATTGGGAGAAATTAACACTGCTCTCAATAGCCATGAATTGGTCAAGGAATCAGTGACCATTGTGAGAGAAGATTGTGTTCCTGGAACCAATGAAAAACGTATTGTCACCTACTTTGTTTTGGATAAAGTAGAAATTGAAAAGAGTACCATTTATGGAAACTATTTTACCATGGAAAGTGGTTTGAGAGCGAGTATCATCAAGACCATCATTAAAGACTTGAGACAATATTTGAGAAGCAAACTTCCAGATTACATGATTCCATCTTACTTTGTTCCATTAGACAAGATTCCATTAACACCAAACGGAAAGATTAAGAAACAAGATTTACCAAGACCTGAAACGAGTGCTTCTACTTCCACCGATCAACGACAAGACGAAGAAACCTATGTAGCTCCAAGAAATGACCTCGAACAACAATTAGTGACCATTTGGGGTGAAATTTTACAAGGAAGTTCTGGTCAAGGAATTGGTATTCATGACAATTTCTTTGATCTCGGTGGTCACTCCATCAATGCCACAACACTCACTTTAAAGATTAGACAACAAGTGGAAGGAGCTTCTAAATTACCGGTCGAATTGTTATTTAAGGCACCAACAGTGAGCGCCCTCGCTGTGGCCATCGAACAATTAAGAAGTGGCAAAGGAGTGAGTAAGACACACGTGACCGATGTCTCTTCTGATTGTCACTTGGAGGCCTCTATTCGTCCACACCATCAACTTAACTTTAATGATTTTATTTCCCTATCTAAAACTTGGCAAAATCCAAAGGATATTCTCATCACGGGTTGCACTGGATTTTTAGGAACCTTTTTATTGGCTGACTTTTTAAAGAAGACGAGTGCAAGAATTTATTGTCTCGTCAGAGCTGACAATGAAGAAAAGGCCCGTAAACGTATTTTGGAAAGTTTATTGAGTTATCACTTTTTTATGGACCTCCAAAGAGATGGATCAACAAGAAGAACGTGAAAGTATGAATTTAGTGAATAAGATGAATTTGGCTGAAATTGTGGAGGGACGTATCATTCCCGTCTTGGGAGATTTAACAAAACCTTACTTGGGATTAAGCCCTATCAAGTTCGAAGAATTGAGCGACACCATTGACGTTATTATTCACAACGGTGCTGCGGTTCACTGGCTCTACAGCTATGAAAAATTGAAAGCTCCCAACGTGAATGGAACCCGCGAGATTCTCAAAATGGCCTGTGGTGGTAAAAAAGTTAACACCTGTGCACTATGTCAGCACCACTTCTGTCTTTGATTCGGAACAATACAAGGAATTTACTGATGTCTATGAAGACTCCTCATTGCCCTATCATGAAGATTTGACTGGTTATCCTCAATCCAAATATGTCGCTGAAAAATTATGTATGAATGCAAGAATGAGAGGATTACCTGTGTGTATTTATCGACCTGGTTATATTACTGGTCATAGTAAGACTGGTGTGTGGAATCCAGATGACTTTTTATGTCGAATGATTAAGGGATGTATTCAAATGGGTTACTATCCAGACATGCCAACAAGCAAACTTGACATGTCACCTGTCGATTTTATTTCAGGAGCTATTGTGTACTTGTCGAGGACCATGGATAGTGTGGTAAAACATCAAGCATACCACTTGGTGAATCCTCATGAATTCTTCTTTAATTCATTATTCGAAACTGGTAGAAAATTAGGATTCAAACTTTTACCATTACCATTTAAGGAATGGAAAGAAAAACTTTATCAACAAACAGTTGAAAAGAAGGAATTAAGCACTGGTGAAGAAGAAAATGTCTTGTATCCATTAGTGACCTACTTTACTGATGACTATGATCTCAAAATGACTGCAAAACGTCCATGGTATGACAATACACACACTTTGGAAGGTCTTGAAAATTCGGGTGTCACTTGTCCAAAGGTGATCGAACTCATGACCACCTATTATCACTTTTTATGTAAATGTGGATTTTAGTGCCACCTGAAGAGCCAACAGAATTGGCAAAGAAATTTGGCTTTCACAAAATTCCAGCCAATATTCAGAGAAATCCAAAGACTTCCATGTCCTCGTTGGATCTCTCTGTCATTCACTCGGATGTGAATTCGACCTTCAATGAATCTCCTTCTCCTACTTCGTTCAACTATCAAAGTCTCATGAGAAATAATAGACTTCAATAAACCAATCAAACGCCATGGTGAACAAAAACTCTTTCAACCACACATTACGAATAGACCTCAATAAACGCCATGAACTCTTCAACAATGGCACATGATGGGATTCTTTTGCACTGACGAGAATTCCTCCTTGTACATTTTGACTTGTCTCGACATGTTCCATAACAACATGAATAATAGGTGACAATGAGCAATTGTCTCAGCACCACCACATTGAGGTTTGAGGCAAATGTTGTCATGACCGAGTGCATGCAATATTATTCTTGCTGTAAAACTCTTGATCAATCTCAATTTATTTTCGTATAGAAGATATTATGATCAAAGATGGTGTACTATGATACAATTTTTGAAAACGAAACGAGTTTACGTTTTACAACAAGACGATTCAGAATCTCGAAAGAGAGAGAGAATTTACAACAAATTGCAACCCTTCTTTCCACCAGATGGTTTTTGGTTGGTCCGGCATTGCTTGGCTTGGACTTTCTCACTTCACGAACCAATGCCATGAAAGCCTCATCCACATTCAATCTCTGTTTGGCAGAGGTTTCCAAGGATGGAATACCTAATTGCTTGGCAAATTGTTTTCCTTCATCGGCACTAATGACTCTTTCAGATTCCAAATCGCACTAAATATTTAGAAAATTGTTGTTGAGACAGAATGGGGATGATGATTCATTCATTCATCATTCATGAGAGGTTCAATCGGATAGGGTTAGAATCATAATGGTGATGAAAAGGATATCATCATCGCCAATGAAAATTGTTAATTGGCCAACCACCAACACGACGAAATACATTTAAAACCCATTGGAATGATTGGAGAAATGTATGGAAGGATGGAAGGATGATGATTCCCATAACAATAATAATAACAACACTTACCTTATTTCCTACCAACACCATAGGAACCTTCTCAGCATCCTTCACTCTCAAAATTTGTTCATAGAAATCATTAATTTCCTCAAAAGTCTTTCTATCAATTACGGAATAGACCAACAAGAAACCATCACCAGTTCTCATATATTGATCTCTCAAAGCTTTGTATTCCTCTTGTCCGGCAGTATCAAGAATTTCCAAGAAACATGGTTTATCATCCACTTTGGCGTGCTTTCTATAAGAGTCTTCAATGGTTGGATCGTATTCTTCGACAAAGATGTTTTGAATGAATTGGACAGTGAGAGCACTTTTACCGACACCACCTCCACCGACTGTTGAGACCAACCACCATCATGTTGGTGAGGATTCATTGATGCCATTATCATCATCATTATCATGATGGGTGGAGTGGAGAGGCCATTATTCAACCCAAATGATGGTGGTGGTGATTGATTTTGGTTGTTGTTGTTGTTGTTAGGGTTGAAATTGAAGAGAGACGAACGAGTGGTTGTTGATGTGGTGATTGTTGTTATTGTTATGGTTGAGTCAATGTATTAATAATAATGACAATAAAGTCAAGAAGGCGTGATATCACATGTGTGGAATGATGTTCCATAGGTGTGTTTGTGGTTGTTATTGTTGTGGTTTTTGTGGTTGAGTTGTAATTGTTGTTGTTGTTAATTGTTCGTCAACACACATTTGGAGAGTGTTATTACGAGTGTTTATGTTCGCCATCATTACAAGTTAATTATCACCATCATCAACTTACCAACGGCGAGTTTATATTCCTCCATACCAGAGTTATTGGCAGCTGACATTTTTATGTGAGTGGTGAGAACAAGTTGGTAACGTTAATTTTTTTTGACGTGAACGACGAAAGTATTACAACTGTCGCTTAAAATGTCCAACTGGTGATGCTCGAGAGCAGGTTCCAAGTTCTTCATGAAGAGATTATCACACCACCAAATCGAAAAAGAAAAGCACAACCTTGAATGGTACACTCGACAGAAGAAC